ATCGGTTTCCCAATCGAGTGCAACCAACCCCTCGTGCCTTTGTTAATGTAGTACAACGGGCTCGTGCATCAGGTGACTTAAGACCTCACAGGGGAGGGCATGCCGGTGCTCCAAGACCTCATGATCAAATACAGGTCCGCACTGAAATACTTGTCGGGAGGATACTTTATAAAACAAGGTAACATTTTTTTTTATTTTTTTTTTATTTTTACACACATATTTTGGTTTATCTTCCTTCTACAATCATTATCTGAAAATTAATGACTCAACTTCAAAGTCACCCTGTATATTTAAGAAAAATCTTTTTTTATTAATATCTCAAAAACTATTAACTCGTTTCTATCGAAATTTAGCAATATTATTTGATGTGTTATTTGGTTGTTTTTTTTTTTGGTCGTAAAACATTTTTACTTGACGTTTTTCCAACACGAGTAATTGACATATTCAGAAGATGTTCACAGTTAGGAGTCCTGTGAACTTTTTTTATAGTATAAAAACTTGGTAATGGCTCTTTGTAATTCTTCGTTCGTCTCGAACCGTTGCCGCCTGGCACTCCTGATTTTGGATTGCCCGTCTCAGCTTTTTCAGAAGCCCCGGGAATTTGAACCGCCTTATTGATCAATCTGCAACAGGGACTTTGAATTGAGAGAAGTGGAGTCTAAAAATGGAACATAAACTATATCACGATAAGTAATTTTAGACATTTTTTTTGGTTTGACACTCAAGAAATTGTTTCTTTAGGTGAAGCATGGAAAAATAATTCTTGCTGACTTTATTCACATGTCGTACGAATTTGAGGTATTCATCAAAAGCCACAGGTTAAATTGATGTAAAGTTTCTTATTCTGAATGGTTCTGGTGAATATGTATACAGGGTGGCGCATCGAAAACGAAACAGACGCATTTACTGGCAGCTCAGTTTTTTTTTTGGAAAAACGCTCAGACCCGTCGATTTTGTTTTCGAGGGGGACACAAGTTTGGCAAAAAAACACGTTAACACGTGCAGCCCCCTAAGCGGGGGTGACACCAACCCTTACATCATAAATGGGAAGGGGGGTCGGGTGATACCTTATTTTAAAGGTCTTTCAATTCCCTTTATAATGATGTAAAATACATGAAGAGGTGCTATTGAATGGCCCCCAAGATCGCCAGATTTATCACCTTTGGATTTCTTTATGTGGGGTCATTTAAAAAGCAAAATCTATGCTACTCAGCCAGCATCATTAGAAGACCTGCGACAAAGAATAGTGAATGAGTGCCTTCAAATTACTCCTCAAATATTGCAAAATGTGCGGCAACGTTTTGAGCAAAATCTTTATTATTGCATGGAGAGTCATGGTGGCCATTTTCAACATTTACTTGCCTAACGGGTCAGTTCATTCTTCATTTTAAAACAAACAAAACTACTGAACTGAAGTACATTAATTTTATATCATTATAAAGGGAATTGGAAGACCTTTAAAATAAGATATCACCCGACCCCCCTTTCCTTTAAGATTTTGGGGGTGGTGTCACCCCCGCTTAGGGGGCTGCCCGTATTAACGTGATTTTTTGCCAAACTTGTATCCCCCTCGAGAACAGAATCGACGGGTCTGAGCGTTTTTCAAAAAAAAAACTGTGCTGCCAGTAAATGCGATGCGCCACCCTGTATGTAGTATAAATTACACTGGCTCAAGTACAGACCCTTGTAGTACTCCGGAGGAAGTGCGACATTTTGGAGACGAAATCATATCAATGTTTACCTTCTGAGACCGATTTTGTACCATCTACGTGTCATATAAACAGGAGAATTATAAAAATCATAAAATTTACCCACGTGTCTTTTTCTGTTTTCATTATTGACCTAGGGAGAAAAATGCTACTATTTCAATAAAGCATTGCGGTCAATAATCGTGGTTTCTCGGGTGCGTAGTGAGAAAAAATCCATCTTTACGATCTTTGTCCCTATAAATATCGAAGGACCCGTCGCCACTTATTTGCGCTTTTATCGCTGAGAACAGGCATAGATGAAACGTCAAATGGACTCTAAAAATGCGATCGCCGCGTCCGGCACGCTTCACTGATCGCACATTCTCCAGTCTGTTCCTCTCACAGTCGACTTTATGCGAATCTAAAATTTATACCTCGCTACGTGCGCGGAAAGTCACAAAGAATATAGGTAGACGCAGTCAAGTGATTCGTGTTGCATTTTTACAGAAATGTATTTTTTTATGTTCGCGCTCGCTAGCGTTGATCTGAAGATTTTGGTTGGGACAACGGAGACCATTGGCGTCCGCAGGGGGGTCCGGGAGAGGGCGATCGAATATTGGACGTTTCCGTCTTTCACCAGGTCTCTTTCTCACTCTTGCATGGTCATCATGTGTGACCAAACACAACCTGGACTCGTCGCTAGACACGACTGAGTTCCTCCATATTCCATTTAAGTTTCTACCTATTCCATACGAATCGTTGCCGACGACGCTGTGGGGTTAAAAGGCCTTATTCGGTGACGAACTGTCCCCATCGTTACTGCATTGGTTCGCAACTGTCCTTGTTGTGGAATGTGCTTGATAGTGCAATGAAACAACAATGAAACATGTTCTAGAACATATTTTCGATACACGTTACTGTTCTCATGTCGCTCATTAAATATTTCTGCTGTTCTATTAGCGCACCGATTATTTCCGAAAAATATTTCGATAACCTCAACTCTTTTTGTTGTGGAATATACCATGATTAGTTCATGTAATAAAGCGTTACAAGTTATTTTAGCAACAACGTTTGGTCGAATCAATCGCAAACTATGTACTAAATTCCTATTTAAAATAAGTACGAGATATTTCCTTTTCTTTCTTCAAGAAATAACTTTTTTGCCACAAAAAACGCTCAAATAGCTATTTTCAACAACAAAATGATAAACAAACCATAGGCGTAGTGAAGAAAAGCGTTTACTTATTAAGTAAATTGTTTTAGTCAAATTTCTTCTGAAAGTAGTACAAACTAATCTGATGTACCTATTAAAGTCTACTTTAAGCTTTAAATCAATAAATCTTCAAAACTACTGAACTGAAGCTCATGTATTTAACATCATTATAAAGGGAATTGAAAAACCTTTAAAATAAAGTATCACTCGACCCCCCTTTCCATTTGAGGTTTTAGGGTTGGTGTCACCCCCGCCCAGGGGGGTGCACGTGTTAACGTGATTTTTTGCCAAACTTGTGTCCCCCTCAAAGAAGAAATCGACGGGTCTGAGCGTTTTTCTAAAAAAGAACTGAGCTGCTAGTAAATGCGTCTGCTTCGTTTTCGATGCGCCACCCTGTATATTTAAAATTCATTTTTTGAGATGCTGATATTTCCTCGCCAGTAAGCGTGAAAAGTAAAAATCGATACGGAGCTTTTCTGAAAATCACAGTATATGAACTGCCCGAATCTGCGACTAATTAGGTTATTTTCCTTTTCTGCATCTATGCCACTTTTCCGAGCACGCGTACAAGCGAGCTCGCTTTGAAAAGATCTTCATAGAATTCCAGCGTATTAAAGCACTTTTCAATTTCAATTATAAGTTGTTTATGTAAAGAGGCCGTCCGCGGAAAGTCCTTTTAACTTTTCTTCTGCATTCGAAAAAACACGAAAAATATGATTTCATCCCTAATAAGTTTATTCAAATCAGATCATCTGCCGTTGCGATGCGGTTGTCCTCCGTTCCACGTTCATTTAAATTTATATTAAAGTCGTGAATGCGAAATGCGAGAAAGAAAATGCGCATTAAAATATAGAAAACGTTATTACCGCCTCTAATTTGTATTATTTCATATAATTTTGCAGTTCAATTCCACGTGGCGCTTGCGCTTGGCCGCGATCCACACATATGGTGGCCCATTATGAATTGATGCCTTCTTATTTTTTTTTTAATTTCAGAAAAAAAAGATGCATACAAGAGTTGTATAGTTTGTCCAGCAATATATACAGGGTGGTTCATCCATGTGTGGCCAAAATGTATTTGTTTATGAGTAATATTCCGTCCACACATGGATAGGCTACCCTGTATAACTCAGAAATATGCTATAGAATAGAGTTGCATTTTTAGTGAAAACGATGGTCGTTTTTTCTGATTCTAAATATACTAAATTAAATTTGTGAATCCTGTTTGGTAGGTTAAAACTGACACGTGAATATATCGAAATAAGTTACCTAACAGGTGCTCTTTCGGCTTCAGAATCAAACTTTGACATCAAATATTTGGAAATAGAGTCACTTTTAACAGACGAAAGTACACTGCAACAATTCAAAAAGTAATCGCACCATCAATAAGAATGTGTTATGGAATAACAATCAAGGCGATCTAACAAATTTTAAAGGGCTTGAGCTTAACATTCATAAAACCTTTTCCGTGCACGCCACTGGTTTTTCCGGCATAGCCATTTTTGTTTTTAGATAAAGAAACTTCAAAGCAGAGAAAACGTTTATTTCATGAATAAATGAATTAAGCTGATAAGAGTCAAACAATAAACATTACAATTGATACAACCTATCTTTGGACCCATCTTTATATTTACAAACTTTTTTGCTATCTTTTTATGGCGTTTCTACCCTTAAGATATTGGCAAGACTTTCTGAAACACCCTGTATATCGATAGATATATTTCGTTTTCCAAAGCCAAATACTATAAGAAATATTCATTTATCAAATACCTTATTGGTATATTGGTATAGTCAACGCCAAACAAAGTGGCGTGCACGTCATCAAGGTGGGTGTGTTGAAAAATTTACTTTGTTGCCAAACTTTTTGTAAAATAATAAAATTTATTATTTACATATCTAGGTTTATAAGCAATATTAACCTCAAATGAGAACAAAAATAATAGTATAAAATTATAGATCTGTACTTGCATAATCATTAAGTATGACAATTATTGATCAGATGACACTATGAAACTACCATATTTAATTGATAGCTTAAAGGTACTGAATAAAAATCCAAATGGAGTCCTCCAAATTTTATGCATGGTATTTATTTTACAGAATTCATACAGAAAAATGCATTCTAAAATTAGGTAAGCTACTGGTGTAAGCTTTTTCTGTACAATAAAGTTAGTCGGAGTTTCTTTCTTCAGCGCTGTCTGAATCTGAATCTTCATCACTCTCAAAGTTGATTATTAAAGGTTCGATGTCTGGTCGATCAAAAATTCGTTCTCTTTCATACCATTTAAAAATTTCTTGCTCAGTATGTCGAACACTATTTTTCCACATGTCTGGGGTAACCGTTTGTAGAGCCTCGTTCCACATATCCAAACAGTCTTTTTCACTGTTACCATCTCTACCAATATGTCTGTTATAGTAACCTTTTGCTATGCCCCAAATTAACTCAATAGGGTTAAATATACAATGGTAAGGAGGCAGACGAAGAACTTTGTGCCCATGTTGTTCCGCCAATTCATCAATCACGTATATTTTAGGTGGTTTGTTTCTAAAAAAGCAGTTATTTTAAGAATAGGAATAAACAAAAGAAATATAAACTGTCGACCAAAATATATATAATTAAGAAGCATTATGTACCGAGCAACAATACTCAATAGCTCTGTTTTAAACATTGTGTTTAAAAATGGTATGTTTTGATTTGTCAACCAGTCTTGGATATTTTTTTTTGTCCATGCATTGTTGGGCACTTTGTTCAATATCATGCTGTGATAAGGGGCGTTATCCAGTATAATCATAGATGGACTCTCCAATTTTTCTAATAACTGATGTTGAAACCATTTCAAAAAATTGTCCTGGTTCATCTCTCCATGGTAATCGCTCAATTTTGTTTTCGAAGAAAATATCGCTTCACTACCCTCAATAAACCCATTTTCATTTCCAGCATGTAATATAATGTATCTAAAATATATTAGTTTTAAATTTTATAGTGCAAATTGTGTAAAAGTACATACCTTTTACCATCTGTTTTAATAGCTTTCACGCTTTTTTGGTTTCCATTTTGCCAAGAGCGACCTATGGTCCCATTTTGAAATATCCAAGTTTCATCGAGGAAGACAAACTGGTATAAGGCGTCAACCTTGGCTTGATTGTATTGCCTTAGAAATTCCACCCTTTTCAAAGCTATACTTGGTAGTTCCATGAGCCCTCGTCGCGGATTGTCCTTAAGCCACTTAAATCCAAGATCTCTAAGCAACCGCCTTAAAGACGTGGCACTACCATCAAATAATGCCCTATCTCTTAATCGAGACCATAAAGTTTGTATCGTAACTTGTTCTTCTGAAACCATGTGTAATATGACATTATAATTTAGTTAACAAATTAATGCAAATTTCTGATAAGTTATTATAATAAGATCTTACTTTTGTGATACATATTATAGATCACTTCTCGAATGGCACTTGTATCCAATGTCGCTGTGTTGGTTACACGTTTAATATAACTCCGCTTTTTCTTGGGCGATTCTAAATTTGCATCACTTTTCACACCCTCGGAAATACGACTAACTGTCCTTAAACTAATTTTTAAAGCAGCAGCAACACGCTACAAAAAATGAAATAAAATTTCACTATTATTAATATACATTACATATAATTATTAGTAACCTACCTCTTGAACAGCATTTAAAGGCAACAAAGGCCTGTTGTTGTCCCTTTCTTGCTCAAAGTATTGCATTAACGAGGCCACGAGTTCCTTACACCGACTATTTAACTGTTTGGGCATCTTTATATACCAAAATTGCCTTTATCTACTCGTAAAATGAATAATTTTGTTTTGAAACAAACAGTTGTTGATTGACAGTATGCGGGGCCAAAGGATTTATAAAGATTTGAAATGCCACAAATTGATTCAGTGTCAAAATTAATACAAATGTCAGTTCCCAGTTTAAATAAGTTTCAAGGTGACAATGTGTCAACGCTGCGAAATCGGTTTAGTGCGTTTACATGTCGATAAGTGATTGGAGCGTTTGCAAAACATTTTATTTCGCATAATGCGTCTAAATTTATCAGAAAGCAACTTATGTGATATTTTAATAACAATGTTTATATGACTATTAACCATAATAAGAGAGTAATGACCATTTTACAATTTATATATCACATTAATATGAAACTGCAATAGAGCAATTGTTTGTGATAGAAACCTAGGCATTAGGTCGGGGAATTTTTATCGTGATGACGTGCACGCCACTTTGTTTGGCGTTGACTATACTGTGTGTCATTATGATACAAATAATAATAATAAAACGTCTTTATTGAGCGAAGTTTAGCATAAACTACTTAACTTAATACATACCGATGAAACCTTCTTTAATTTGAGCCTCAGCAACTATTATATTGTCAGTATTAGAATTATTGTATACTTGCAATTCATCCTCAAAAAACTGAATACTGCAGTGTTTAAAAACCTCATCAAGGTTCGAGTTATATAAAATAAAAAGAAGTGGCCCAAGAACCGACCCTTGAGGGCTCCCGATGATATCAAAGCCACGAATGTGTCAGATGTTCTCCCTGACCTCGTTTTGTAAAGGCAAAAGACACTCTAATATCGCCTCTCTAGATACCATCTGAACGCTAGTTAACAAGCTATCACAAACCTACCCCGAAAGTCGCCGGCACCCCTTTCAAGCGGTTTGAGGCTGTCTTCATCATCATTGATGATATCAAAGTCACGAATGTGTCAGATGTTCTCCCTGACCTCGTTTTGTATAGGCAAAAGACACTCTAATATCGTCTCTCTAGATACCATCTGAATGCTAGTTAACAAGCTATCACAAACCTACCCCGAAAGTCGTCGGCACCCCTTTCAAGCGGTTTGAGGCTGTCTTCATCATCATTGATGATATCAAAGTCACGAATGTGTCAGATGTTCTCCCTGACCTCGTTTTGTATAGGCAAAAGACACTCTAATATCGCCTCTCTAGATACCATCTGAATGCTAGTTAACAAGCTATCACAAACCTACCCCGAAAGTCGTCGGCACCCCTTTCAAGCGGTTTGAGGCTGTCTTCATCATCATTGATGATATCAAAGTCACGAATGTGTCAGATGTTCTCCCTAACCTCGTTTTGTATAGGCAAAAGACACTTTAATATCGTCTCTCTAGATACCATCTGAATGCTAGTTAACAAGCTATCACAAACCTACCCCGAAAGTCGTCGGCACCCCTTTCAAGCGGTTTGAGGCTGTCTTCATCATCATTGATGATATCAAAGTCACGAATGTGTCAGATGTTCTCCCTGACCTCGTTTTGTATAGGCAAAAGACACTCTAATATCGCCTCTCTAGATACCATCTGAATGCTAGTTAACAAGCTATCACAAACCTACCCCGAAAGTCGTCGGCACCCCTTTCAAGCGGTTTGAGGCTGTCTTCATCATCAGCCCTAGATCATTGTCAGTCGCACTACATATTAACGGGGTAGCTGGTAAGGGCGGGGGGTGGCTACGTGCTGCAGGGATGACCATTTATCAGCAACGTCTAGCACAAGATAATCCATAACGTTGCTGAGTTCCACCCGTTTTCATTATTCAACAAGTTCGACTATGATATACGCTGTTTTCCGCTAAGTTTTATTGCGGCAGGTATTACTAGACAATCTAGACGTACGAACCGATCTGAAGTGCACTAGAAGAGGCTTATAAATATCCATGTTTTGCCACATGAAGCTACTGATGTTGGATGGTCAAGAAAAAAATGGATAGCAGCTTTCCTTGAGAATCGAGGGAACACTTCGTTGGAATAATGGTTGAATTTCTAATTGGAACTGGGTATAGACGGAAAAATTGGAATTTTTCATCAGATAATATAGGAAATCTTATAGAAAACAAGATTTTATTTTCAGTAAATGTAATTTGTGGATCAGCTACTAAATAGTATGATTGTAAATTTTGAAAGTTTGGTACTTTCTTTTTACCATATAATTTGACTAAATACTTTATGTTTTTCTCTAAGTCTGAAACTGATATGATAGAACTATGTAAAGTGTTGAATTTTGAAAACATTATAGCGTCCTGCAAATTGTCTAAAAATGTAATCAAATTTTGACAATTTAGATTAAGTTGCTGTAAAATATTTTCAGCGTGAAGATAAGCTGTCAAGCTTCCTACAGTTCCATTCATCGCATTTTGCAGATGATACAATTTCGTTTTGATCTGTACCTGATTAGAGCTTAATAATGAAATTGTAGAATTGTAATTATCTATCAATTCTTTAGTTAGTGAGGTCTGAAGTTTTAGTTGACTATGCACAGAATTTGCGTTCTTTTGTAATTCATGAAGTGCATTATTAATTTTGATTTCGTCATCTGAGTCCATTGTACCAAAAAGAAACTTTGAAGTTTTTCCTACGAGATTAATCAATCCTCGTTTCTGACGAATACGTGGAACAATGTTATCTAATTTTTTCGTAGCTTCTTGTATCAGAAATTTCGTATGCTTAAGGAGATTTGATAATCCAAAGTGCAAGTCTGAATGATCAGCATTTAAAGGCTTGAGAGTATTTTGGAGTTTTTCGTAATAATTTTGGATATTCGTAATCTGTCTTGTTAATGAAGTAGTTTCTACAAAGTGAATAAAAGTATGATACGATTCTATAATACTAGCGTTACCTAGCGAATAAGGGAAAAGCGGGGCTTTTAAGGGTGTGACAACTGCGTCATTGTTGGCTTTGGTTGTCGCGACTAGTAGAAGGGATAGAATGAGTATCGGAACCTTCTTGATTTCCAGATTCATGATCCTTCTACTCCTATCTTCTTGTAAGGCGGCAGGCAGAAGCAAGGGGCCAACTTCTCGCTCTTGGGCTGTGGATTCTCGTTCGTTGCTGTAGGTCGAACGCCGAAGGGACGATACCCACGTTTTCACGAAACCGGTCACGATACCGCGAATTTTCGGAAAACTGCGTTAAATCCTACTGGATGACTGCGCCAGTTATGTTGCCGAGATGGCCGTTCGGGTTTTTAAAAAACTTTATTTTCACTTTTACAAGACACTACAATATACTTGATATATGTTATAATGGATAAATGTACAATACGACGAACAAACGAGCAATAATTTTGAAAGCATCAAGAACCTCTATTTATCATCTCGGCTTGGATGCTTTCCTCAGCATTTTCTTCTTCCACGTGCATCCTTTTCTGCATCATAACTTAAATACAACCTGCGCAAGAGAAATCGTCAGTCTACATCCAGCATCGGAAATGGAAGGACCTCTGAAGAAGCTTTCCACTCGTGCTAGCGAAACGGTAGGAAGAAAGTCCAACCGACGACGGCCTATAGACCCGAATCAAGACAGCAGTTTATCAACTGGCCGCGAACCCTTAACCAATTTGTCATCCTTGAAACTATACAAAAAAACATTGGCCCTATGCTAGTATTATAAAAAATAAAGAAAAACGTTCTGTGTCACACAATGGGCTCCAAAGTACATAAAAAATTACAATCACAATAGATTTTACTTGTCTAATTGATAACTCTCACTAATTTAGCACTTGCGACTAATTTATTACATATTTATGACTATATCGACTAGACTATGGTGTTCCACTCATCGGCCACTGTCTGCTCTCTGCCTGTGTATTTATCTTTGAATTGACGAATTCAGACGAGTTCTCGCGTTTTCCAGACAAAGCTCGAGTCTTCATCGAAGCTGGTGGCGTGATTCTGGTTGCCTAACCATCGATGTTACGAGGGCGTCGCATTATTACTCAAAGTTCTAGTTATAGCACGTTACAGAGCGTATGTATGTGAACAAAAAATTGTATTTCACGAGTCAAAATCCAAATGGTTTGGTGGATTTTGACATACGAGGCGTTGTTGGATTCATCTTAGCAGTGCATTATGATATAAAGTCTAAATGGCGGATAATAATAAAAAATCTCGACTTTAAAATTTCTGTTTCACAGATTGCAGCTTGTCGAAAGTGACATTCGAGGCGTCTCTAGATTTGTCTTTTTTGGTGGATTGCAAACGAAAACTTCTGCTTCAAAATCTCTATTTCACAGGCTACAGTCTAAACGGTTTGATGGATTTTGACATTTGAGGTATCCCTAGATTTGTATTGTAGTGGAATTAAACCTTCATTATTTTTCGATACTGTATTTTCAAAAATATATTTTGTAACGTGAATTAAAATTCTTTATATACGGTTCAAATGACATGCAGATTCTATTATACTAAGTGACATATAAATCCCAACACCCAGTTTAAATGGTTTTATTTTAATAAAAGTTGGTGAATGTATTTATCTTCCTGTAAATAACAAGTGAAAAAATGTTCAGCCTTATCAGTTGGACATTCCGGTTTTTATACTGTTTTTTTTTTGATTCACTAACGCTCTAAAAATGAATATTTGAGCCGCAGTAAAGAATCAACGTTGGCGGATTTGGTTCTTGACATCCTTTATGATCGGTTACGAGGCCTAGAATACGGAGACCTGTACGATTTCGTCAACTTAGTGAGTTTGATAGGGGCCGTATAGTGGGACTTCGGGAAGCTGGACTTTCTTTTCGGGCAATTGCAGTTAGAGTGCAAAGAAGTGTAGACACTGTGGTTAGGTGTTGTCAGGCATGGCTTCGAGAAGGCCGTACGCAAAGAGCAAGGGGCACTGGACGCCGCCATAGAACAACAGGCCTTAGGGCCTTAAGGGACCGTTTCTCCACTACCAGGTCCATTGCAAATGAATGGTTTGCAGAACACGGAAGACCTATTGGCATGCGAAGTGTTTACCGACGAAGTTTTGGCTTGTTTTCATACCGGCCACACTGGGTCCTCCCTTTAACTCGAGAACACTGACGTAATCGCCTTGAGTGGTGCAGACAACGGTCACTCTGGGATCAGGAATGGAACAGTATTGTCTTTAGTGACGAGTCTCGATTTTGTTTAGGCATGCACGATGGTCGTGCCAGGGTTAGAAGGCGACGTGGTGAATGGAGGAATCCACAGTTTTTTGTTGAAAGACATGTTCATCACACTGTTGGAGTTATGGTTTGGGGTGCTATAGCTTATGGTTCCAGGTCACCTTTAATCTTCATCAGAGGTAACATGAACGCGCAGCGTTGTATCCACGAAGTTCTAGAACCCCATCTTTTACCCTATCTTGACACCCTGGGCCGATCCAACTTTCCAACAAGATAATGCCCGACCACATGTTGCAAGAGTCACAATAGACTTCTTTCAACATAATGATGTCACATTGTTACCATGGTCACCAAGATCTCCCGACTTATTCCCAATTGAGTACGTGTGGGATATGATGGGTAGGAGATTGCTCAATTTGCAACGTCCTCCTCAGACTCTAGAAGCACTTCGAGAGGAGTTGGTGGTTGCCTGGAATGAGATACCACAGGAGGAAATTGACTACCTGATCAGAAGCATGCCTAGGCGCGTTGGAAAATGCGTAGCACATCAGGGTGCATCCACACATTATTAAAGGTCAAAGGGCTTTAAAGCAGTGCAATCATTTTGAAATTTTTATCATTTACTTATTATGCTTCATTAAGTACTTATACAAAATTTTATTAAAATAAAACCATTTAAACTGGGTGTTCGGATTTATATGTCACTTAGTATATTTTGGGTAGCTTAAACTTATCCGGGCACGCTTATCATGCGGATTCTATTATTTAGTGGAAAAATAATGGAATAAAAAAAAAATTCATAAATATTTTTTCCGATTGGAAATATTTAAACGGCAATTAAGCTCCTTCGTCTCGAAGTGAAATACCGTGGGGGGCTTTAATATTGATTCAAAACGTCTAATCATGTGTAATACGTATATTTAAACGAGCAGGCGGGACTTTCGCGGAAAGCAAAGCCTTAATACCGCGAGGGAAAAATTATAATCCAAATGAAAGTCCCCAAGCAAGGGACATTACAACCATCTTTTCCGATCCAGTGCATTACTATCCTTTTTCAGCTGTGCTTCTGCCTCCATCTGTTAACCATTCAAAGCTAGTCAGCCGGAAATAAAACTCCGAATGGGTAATTTATGTAAGGGACTTGCCGGAAAAAAAACCGAAGACATTTTACGTTTTTTTTCAGATCAGTGGATTTTTCTCTTTCAGCAGTTGTCGAAAGCCCGTCTGCAGCTGAACTACTTAACTGGCGATTATCCTAAAAAGCAAGGAGGTAGGACCTCTCTCCAACTGCCGGTAAAACGATCACGCCTAGTAGCAACAGGATCGGTTTTAATCTTAATGATCAAGAATATTAAGTTTCAATCATGAATATCATATTTACCATTTGTTTTCATGGACAGTGCGATTTTTGTCAGCTATAGCGTACAATAGAAATACACAAATGCACAATGGCCAATTTGTAGGGGTGAAAGCGGAGATCCATATGCAAAATTCGCCTTACCGAACGATCACTAAGGCGAAGTGCAGCAGCATATTTCAACATTTTCAGGAGTTCGCGGCGCTCCTCTTGGTCTTCTGTTGATCAGTTCACCACGCCTGCGAAGTGATTCAACCCAACGAAGGATGGTGTTTCGAGAGGGAACAGCTCTATTCCGATGAATGTTGAAGTGGCGACGAAACTCACGCTGTACGACGATAACTGACTCATTATTTCGGACGAAACAATCATAGGCGAAAACGCGGTGCTTCACTGTCCAAGGCTCCATAACGACAACTGGTAAAATAATGCTAAGATTTCACGAGTCAAACGGCACCCTCCCCACCTCTCTAGAGGCGGAGAGTACTACCCATCCCAAAAACGTCCGTCCTCTCTGCCGCACCCTGTATAAATAAAAATTCAAGGAATCAACTATGACATGTGCGTAAAAAATTGGGACGCCCTGTATGATTGTGAGTATTTAATAAACGTTCCCGCAAATATTGTGTATAAATACATAAATAGTTTTCTGTGAAAAGTGTTTGTTCAGAAATAATATTCCGTTCCCGCATAGATGGGACACCCTGTATCAATTGTTGTGAAGAACTTTTTGAAAAATATAAATTTCTATCAGTACCTTCTTCGGCAATTCACAGATTAGTCTTATACGAGGGATGTCTTTTAAGTTTTGCATATGGAAATAAAGCAACACGGTAGGTAGTTTTAAATGACTTTATTGTTTTGCGAAGTATTCTCCACGAAGATTAATACACATCTGTATGCGATCGAACAAATTTTCGAAGCACTTATTCCACTCGTTTGCTGGTAGATCCAAAACGGCATTTTTGAATGCGTCAACTACTTCTTTTGGTGACTGGAACCTATGACCACGCAGTCTGTTTTTAATTTTTAGGAAAGTAAAGAAATCGATAGGACTTAGATCGGGACTATATGGAGCATGGTCCAATAATTCCACGTTTTCTTCCGTTAAACACTGCCTTGTTTTTGGGCTGTGTGCGAGCTTGTATTGTCTTGGTGGAGGATGATTCTTCTTTCGGGATTGATTTTTCGAAGCTCGCTGATGACTTTTGGCAAACAAATGGCAGTATTCAATCCGCAGTAACAGTTATTTGCTCATTAAGAAGAATTGTTGCAATATGACCCGCTTTTGACACAAATGTCGCGACCATCTTTTTCGAAACACTTCGAGAACGGATGACTTTTGTTGGTTTTCTTCACATTGGAACATCCAAACAGCCGACTGTCGTTTATGTTCTAGCTCATAACAGTAAATCCACGATTCATCACCACTAACAATGCTGTACACTTTTTTTGTTTCCAGAATTGAAACGGTCAAGCGTTTTTTGACAACATTTAACCCTGGCGGCTTTCTGCTCTTCAGTCAACAGGTGGGGTATCCAACGAGAAACTAATTTTCTTACTCCTAATTCTTTATGTCAAATTTTTTGAATTGAGGTCTTTGAGATCTTCAAGGACGCCTCAATATCGCGATATGTCACATGTCTAACTTCAATGATGAGTTTCCGCACAGCATCGCCGCTGAAAGTTGTAATAAATTATGGCGCGAAAATGTTCTCGGTTGAGTTCTATTTTTCTAATGACTTGGCGACACTTAAAAATTCACTGTAGTGAGAACACTACACGTATTGCTGTGAAACTTGGAATTTAAGTTTACGAAAGAGTGAGGTTAAGATTCAGTACTGACGTTCGATCCGCGCAGCCTACTATGTTTCTATATGCAAAACTTAAAAGACATCCCTCGTATGTACGTTACACCGAAACAAGTCCAAATTTGTTCTTAATAAAGATATTTATCCCATAGTCACAAGACAGACTAATATACACTCCCCAATTTTTCTTAATGTAAGCTAGGTAATGTATCGTCTAATATTCTTGGCTGTAAAGCATACATCTTGAAGATGAGATTCTCCAAATAGAAATTAACTCATTCCAGTTATGCATAATCTTTAATGCAATTGTAACTTTGCTTGGTTTGAAAGTGATACATCCACCAGTAGAGAAAGACACTTTCCAGAGCTCCAAGCGCCTGCCATAACTTTCTATACAGTTTGATTCTGCAATGAGCGTACCAGAAATATCTCCATTTCCTCGGCAGCCTCAGCTCCATACATATGAATGTAACGCTCAGCGCGAGCTTGTTTGGGAACAAAGCCACAGCATATGCAACATTGCTCATCAACGCAACTTCCCAAGATATGAAGCGGTCGTGGCAGCGTTGCCAGGTCCATCTGTTTTTCGGCAAATCTACCGAATTTCACAAATTGTGGCATAATTGGTGATTTTTGATCGTGAATAATATGGAAAATTGTTTTCATCAATCAGCAGTGATAACTAATGTTGAACTCTACTAGTTGTCGAGCATTACACGGAAATAGCTGCTGATATTCATTGTCACTTTATTGAATCAATAAAGCGATTTGGAAATTCTATCTTGGGACTTAACTTTGTGGTACTTCTGACTTATTTAATTTCTTAATGTGTTTGGGTGCAATTCTTGAATATGAGTCAAAAAAATTCATCTCCCAGGAAATTTCGAAGCATTAGAAAAACAGAGAAAATCCAAATTAATAAGGGGACATTTTATTTCATTGCGGTATACTCGTGGAACTCTCTCAGACTTTTTTTCATATCGAAGAAGACTCGTAGGCAGAAGCTTAAATACCAAGGGACCTTTTCTGTCCCATCGCCATCCTACAAATATAACAATAATAAAATCTTCAAACTGATCACCGACTGACGTGTCATCAATTGTTGACCAACTGACGTCGTTGCCGTCTTTCTTGCATTTAAGTACGTTGCTTTGATAGTTGCATTGCTGTGGCGTATTATATGCACCGTGCCAAATCCGGACGAGGATGAGGTACCATTTATTCTAGCAAAGGCTGATACCTTTTATTTTTTGACAATTTGTAAATGGAGGCTGTTCTTTTGTGTGTATGCAGACATGCTGAAGGAGAACGAACCTGCTCTGGGGAATTCCTTTTCGATTTGCACGTTCCGTGAGGAGATATGGAGTTGGGAGTCTGCTGCTAGTCGCACTTACGGGTTGGGATATTCGGAATGAATATCGATTTTGATCGAATGGGATAGTTTGTTTAGTAGACGGGCTGGCATTTTGAAGTATAGCGGGCAGCAAAAGTGAGGCTTCGAGATTCGTTCATAGCGGGCGTGCTTGGAGTTGTAAACAACCCTTTTTTTCTGAGATGAAAATAAAACGTGAAAAAAAAACAGAACTTAAAACGGTTTTTTTTCAAGAGTTCGACGTAGACATAATAAACTCTGAAACCACTTCTGATAGTAATGCAAGTGAGAGCAAAAATACTACGATGAAGATTAAAGTGTTTTGAGTTACTAAGCTTGCTCTTACTTTTTATACAGGGTGATACATATATATAAAGTAGATGACATTCTTTATATTATCTAAAAGTTAAATGCAATACCAACAACACAAAATCGTTCTACAAAATAAGATAATAAAACATATTTTCAAATAATGATTATTTTGTGCTTATCAAAAAAACATTCTAAGCAAAGAAATTTTAGTTCACAGACTTGGTAAACACCAACACTAAACAGTTGTAGCTTGTTTTGTTTTACTTATTATATCAGGTCGAGTTGTCCTTGGTCGACCCCACCGCTGTTTATCTAACGTCGAACCAGTCTCTTCGAACTTAGCAACCCAGTTCTTAATCGTTTGAGCTGTTGGACACTTTGTAAAATTGTGTAAATTGTGGTATTCTCGATTTTTTTATTTATTTTGATAAAACGCGCGCACACAAAAAGCACGATCCGCTCCAGTGAAACACTCCATGGCGACTAAATTCCCAGACACTGAAGATACTGCCCCCACCTCGCCCGCGCCGCTCACGCTCACCCGTTAAATTTTATTCAAATTTGAAATTTCAAAGGACTTATGGACCACCCTGTATTAGGAATCTACTTCTTCAACCATATACATGTTTATGTATATTCCATTGCTTGCTTACTTTTTATGTAAAATTTATCTAGGTACTGTCTTGAATACAGCAAGAAATAGCTTTGCCACAAAAAAAACGCTCCAATAGCTATTTTCAACAATAAAATGATAAACAAACCATGGGCGTAGTGAAGAAAAGCATTTACTTATTAAGTAAATTCTTTTAGTCAAATTTCTTCTGAAAGTAGTACAAACTTATCTGATGTACCTATTTACCTACTTTAAGCTTTAAATCAATAAATCTTCAAAACTACTGAACTGAAGTACATTAATTTTATATCATTATAATGGGAATTAAAAGACCTTTAAAATAAGGTATCACTCGACCCCCTCTCCATTTAAGATTTTGGGGGTGGTGTCACCCCCGCTCAGGGGGCTGCACGTGCTAACGTGATTTTTTACCAAACTTGTGTCACTCTCGAAAACAAAATCGACGGGTCTGAGGGTTTTTTTAAAAAAAACTGAGCTGTCAGTAAATGCGTCTGTTTCGTTTTCGATGCGCCACCCTATATATGTATCTACTTGCTCCCAGGGAAAAATATTATTAATTATTTTTTTAGTTCTTCGAGTGCGATCTACTTAAGTTTTCTATGTATGTGTTATGTTATTGAAATAAAAGACTTTTATAATTATTATTAACTACCTCTACGCAACGAACTGGTTGTCACCCTTCATATTTACCAGCACTTCCAAAGGCCACTGAGTTAAATTCCATAATCGTGTTACAAAGAAGCCAATTTGAATAATGGACATGTTAAATTACA